AATCTCTCATAAAGGTTTTCAACCCTCAACACCATTTCCCTGTAACTTCCTCTTTGGAGACTTGTGAGCAGAACAAGTAGAGAAGTGAATTGTAATGGGCAGTAGGAGTCCACACTGACTCCACCTGATCATCAAAACACAAGGCTTTTCAAAGATGCTCAGAAGTCGACCTTTCCTAACACAGGAAATCTCCATTTGCTGATGGAAAGGTATAGTGGATGTCATCCATAACAGACTTATCATTGTTGATTCATGTGATCCTTGCAACACATCATCACCAGGAGCAATAAAGAATGTTATTCTACAATGCTCTTTCTATCTGTATGTAAGATTGGAATTCCATCAGCACATTGCAGTACACATTAAATGACTTAACTTCATCCTACTAGTTGTGCTTTTGAATCGTGCCTATGCTTCCTGGTTTTAGACATATCTGAAAGTCACCTTTCTATCTCCTACGTGAGTGCTTAAGCAATAGAAATTTCCATTAATATTATTAACTGTACCTGATTAGGAAGCTGAATATGAGACCAGCTGAATCGTCCATGTGCCTAGAGTCCACAGAAATTTGGTTTGGGATTGTGTGATATTCTGGATCACTCCAAGACCTTTTCTTCTGAAGTTCACACATCCTTAGCTTTATCCATCCTTATTTAACTTTGCAGAATATGAACTTGACCCCAGCCCTGCTTCTTTTGGGAATAAGCTTCTTTCTAACTGCATAGCTGTTTCCTCAACACATGGGCTGGAATCAGGATAGACTTTCTATATCATGAGCTAATCATCAGGGAAAAGGATCACTACTTGTAAGAAAGAATAACCCAGAGGGCTTCTGATGTCATGTGGGAGAAACAGAAAACACTACATATATGGCATCAGGGATTTCATCCCCAAAGATACATCCTGGCTCTCTTCTGGAGACTATTAATTTTGGATAACAAACTCTTCAGTATGGTTTGAAAAATGTGTTCCCAAAAGGCATAGCTTGAAGTTTGCTTATAGGAATCAGGGGATAGTGACTCGGAAATAGCATGGGAATATGTTCTCCAGTGATCAATTAACCTGACTTGTTTTTTCTCTTGAAACACAGATGGCGCTAATCTAGGCTCTTTCCATCAAACACTTTTGAGAAGACAAAGTCTGAAAAATACCTAGTCTTTTTTTTGCACATTTGACTATGTACCTTAACATAGAAAAAGAGTCCCCAAGGCGTAAGGGTATGCAGTCACCACGGGTATTTTCCATGTTAACTTTTGGTTCTGATTTAGTGTTTGTTTTGTTTTTAGGATATGTGCTGTCAAGTGGACACTCGTTTTTTTGTTTTGTTTGTAATGTTGTTTTTAGGTGCTGTCTGGTCAATTCCAACTCATGGTGTCCCCATGTGCAACAGAGCAAAACACTACTCAATCCTTTCCCACAGTTCTAACCTGTCCTACGTGTGAGCCCATTGTTGCGGCCACCTTGTCAATCCATTTATTTTAGGGTCTTCCTCTGTTGTGCTGACCCTCTTCTTAGCAAGCATGATGTCTTTCATCAGGGAATGAACCCCCTGGTTATATAACTAAAATATCACCATTCTCACTTCTAAGGAGCATTTTCACTGTACTTCTAGGACAGTTTGTTTGTTCTTTGGAAATCCATGGTAATTTCAATATTCTTCACCAGCAACCATGATTAAAGTTCATCATTGCTTCTCCAGTCATCTTTATTCTTTAACTAGACTCCACAAGCACAAGGCTACTAAAAATACCAGGTCTTTGGTCAGGCTACCTAAGTCAACAAACTGACATTTTTTTCTCTTTAATACTTAAAAAAATTTTTTTTAATTCATTTTATTTATTAAAAGATAATTTTATTGTGGGCTCTTACAACTCTTATAACAATCCATACATCAATTGGATCAAGCATATTTGTACAGCTCTTTAACACTGTAAAAAGTACTTTGGACTAAGGCTGTACCAATGTGTAAAATAAAAAGACACGGAGAAGGTAACACTAATATGACCTTTAAATTGATTTAATGTAGATTATTGCATATAAACAAAGCTCTTGATAGGAAAGCACAAAAACTGTAAGGAATTAGGGTATTATGTAAAATAGATTATGAATTGGACTATGATGACAAAAATATGAAATTAAAATTTTTTTTCAGAAGTATAAAAAAAGCAAAGAAAATGTATATAAATCTTAAGGTTTAGAAAATTGAGAAAGAAAAAAGCAAGGAACTTAACATTTTGTAAAAAAAAAGAAATGCCATCATTGTTTTTAAAATTCCATGTTTCCAAAAACTTTTTGAAGTGTCCTCACCTGAATATAGTTTGACTGACTGTAATATAAAGCCATGCCTGCTATTCATATATGTAAATATATTGGACCCAGTTCTTTAAGATTTTCAAATCTATGTCACAAAGCAAAAAGATTTGCGTACAATATAAAAAAGGGTAATTAACATACTCAAGTATTCCAGTGAAATAAAACATATTGTCTGGTAAATCTAGAATTAGAATGAGAGGAAAAGATGGTTTGAATATGAGGAAAGGATCCTTTCCTAATTGTTTCAAATAAAGTCATTTGGATTTCTATTTTTCTTTTTTATTAGTTGGGATTTAATGCATATAACCCATCATTCCATATTTAAGTTCCATCAAGTAGAATTGAACAATTGCTACCACAATCAGTTTCCAACCATTCCTTTTCCACATGACTCCTTGTGTGGTAGTTACATAGTCTCATGTTAACTAGGCTGCAGAATATATTCATAGGATTATAGGATTATGGTATAGATGTTCAAATAACTGCAATTGTTAAGTATAGAGTATTTTTGTTTTCTTCACTTACAGAATATTTTGTTTAAATGAGGCTGACACATTTTCAGATAGGTATAAATATGATTTTAATCTTGTTTTGTTAAAAATTATGTATGACTAAAGAATTGTGTAAAAGTGTCAAATTAACATGGGTGGTCTGTGGTAGTTACATAATCTCATGTCACCTTGAGGGTTTTAAGAGTGAAGGGATAGGATGTGAAGGCGATCTGACTGCTAAATCTGTCACCCCATTGATCACCAGGGCTGATTTGGCTGATCTGGCTGGCGAGGCTGGTGTCCCTTTCCTGCCTCACTGCTCCACATGTATCCCTTCGGAAGTTGCACTTGGTTGAAGAGGATGACCTTCCTCGATAGAAGGAGGATCATCCTTCCAGGAGCTGTGCTCCTCTGCTAACCTCCAAACAAGTCTCAAGAGTGAAGGGGGGGAGTCTAGCTTGTCAATCAGGTCACCACCTGAAGACGCCTCCTTGTGGGCGTGGCCTTTTCTTGAGTCTGGGAACTTCCTCTCTTTCCCCCTGGATGTGGGCCGCACTCTCTGCTTCACTTTCTTCCTGTTGAGACACTTGGAGAGCTGGAAGAGCCACGTGGAGACCTGTGCCAGCACTGAGATACTTCCACCACCACTGGATCCACAGGACTTTCCAGCCACCAACCTGTGATCTTCATGCATTTGACATCGCTGCATGTGTTGCATGAGTCTGAAGAGGAATTTATAAACTAGTATCAGACCTATGGGCTAATATCAGATTGATCTGGATGGGGCTGGGATGTTTTCTCCATATACAATTACTCTTTCATACAAGCTTTTTCTTATACTTATATGAATGTCCCTGAATCTGTTTCTCTAGTTAACTCGGTCTAACACACCTTGTAGATTTCTATTTTTGAGCAAGAAGGAGTAACACAGACAGAATTTACTATTCTGCCTGTAGCAGCTAGTTCAACAACAGTTCAAGACATTGGTCATCAAACAAGTAAGTAAAAGAAAATGGTTCTTGACAGATGGGAAACAAATGGATAAGCCTGACAATTCCCACTATTCCTCCCCCCCCCCCTGATTTTTTTGTCTAATAGTTCTGGCTAAGACTCCCAGTGCAATGTTGAGAATGCATCCTTGCCTGGCTCCCAGTCTCAGAAAATGTTCTCAGGTTTTCACTCACAACTGGACTACAAGGTAGCATTGAAAAAAAGATAGAAGTTATCAGGGATTTCATCTTTCTGGGTCCACTATCAATGCTCATGGAAGCTCAGTCAAGAGATGAAATGATTCATTGCATTGGGTAAATAAACTACACAAAACCTCTTTAAAGTGTGGAAAAGCAAGGATGTTACTTTGAGGACTTAAGTGTGTCTGATCCAAGCCATGGTATTTTCAGTTGCCTCATATGCATGTGAAAGCTGAACAATGCATCAGGAAGACAGCAGAAGAATTGATTCATTGGGATTATAGTGATACTGAAAAATATTGAATTGATTGTGGATTGCTCAAAGGAACAAAGCTTTCCTGGAAGAAGTACAGCGAGAATGTTCTTTAGAAGTGAGGATGCTAAGTCTTCCCTTCACATAACATGGACATGTTATCAGGAGAGACTGGTTCCTGGAAAAGGACATCATGCTTGGTAGTAGCAAATCAGAGAAGAGAGGACAACCATCAAGGATATGGATTGACACCCTGTCTGCAATAATGGGCTCACCATAACAACACATGAAGGATGTCATGAGTGTTTCATTCTGTTGCATATGGGGACATTATGAGTAGGAACTAGCTCAACATCATCTAACAATAGCATCTCTGGTGTCATACAGTATGTGTGTTTTTATTGGTGAAAATAAAAATAATAAGAAAAGGCTTTTGTTTTTAATACTTTTTCGGAGACTAAAAGAATGCTACATGTTAACAAGTTTTAAAAGTACTATCTGTCTAAAAGCTCACTGAAACATCCTCCAGTGTGGTTGGATGTCCACACCAAAGTACACTAATGGAGTTTGCTTTAACCACTTCATTCTAAGAAAGTTCAATCCTTATCTCCCAGCAGTAAAAACAAAATAAAAAACATCTAGAGTCTGGACCTTATAAGGATCTATCCAGTGGTCTGAAATCATAAATGTTTTCTGTAATTTATTTAAGGTTATTATCTCATTCCTCTCTATTTGGGATAACTACTCTTATAGTCAGTGGTTAGTACTACATCTCCCAAACACTTTCCTCAGGGCCTTGGCTACATCCTTGTTCCGGAGAGTGTAAATCAGAGGATTCAGTGTGGGAGTGATGATGCTGTAGAACACTGAGCCAACCTTGTCTTGCAATGGAGTGTGCTGGGCCCTGGGCCTCATATATGTGAAGATGCAGGCACCAAACCAGAAAAACACAACAGTGAGGTGAGAGCTACAAGTAGCAAAGGCATTTCTCTTGCTCCCAGCTGACTGCATCTGAATCACACTGTGGAGGATGAAGGCGTAGGACGTAGAGACCAGGGAGATGGGAATGAGAAGTATTAGGATGGTGCTGATGTACACTGTGGTTTCATAAACAGTCATGTCTTTACATATCAACTTCAGAATAGCAGGAAACTCACAGTAGAAATGAGAAATTTTTCGGGATTCACAGAAAGGGGAGTGCATCAATATCACTGTGTGAATTAGGGAGTTTGTGGATGCTCCTAACCATGATAGGACAGCCATCATCAAGGTCAACTTTCTGCTCATGAGGACAGCATAGTGCAGTGGGTGACAGATGGCAACATAGCGGTCATAGGACATGAGGGCCAGAAGGAGACACTCGGCACCACCCACAGATAAATAGAGGAAGTGCTGGGTGGCACAGCCCACAAAGGAGATGGATTTCTTGCCAGATAAATAGTTGGTCGCCATCTTGGGGATGGTAGTGGAGACATACATCAGGTCCATGAGGGACAGCTGGCTGAGCAAGAGGTACATCGGCGTATGAAGCCGAGCATCAGCACAGATGAGGAGGACGGTGAGGGTGTTGGCACTCACTGCAATGAGGAAAACCACCATCGTCAAGGAGAACAGGAAAACATGGGAGAGCGAGTCATCAAAGAGCCCTTCAAGGATGAAGTCTTCCAGGGAAGAAGTGTGATTCCTCAGCCACATCTCTCCTTTCTTAATCCCTAGGAAATAGAAAATTGATATAGGTTGTGATATCAGAAATACAAGTGTTTACCTTTCCTAACAATATGCATCTTTTGATCAAAGAAATAATTTGTGAGGTTTTTCCTAGTGTAATTATTGAGTAAATTTAATATTAAAAGCACCTTTAAAAGATGAAAGAGATCTAAAAATTTATCTTCATGAACTCTTGAATTCCGGAATATCTAGACTATATTAAATACTAAACTTCCAAATCATAGTCTCTTCTTTTAGCTTATTTTCTGTGTCAAGAATTCATCATAGAATATTTAATATATACCCATTAGGATATATGTGTGTGTTTGGATATATATACATATTCACACAATTTACAGATACATATATTTATATTATTTACATATATGTAAACATACGTATTTATATATATACATAATTCACCAAGGCGATGAATATTTAAACTATTCAACATTGAGGAAAAGGAGAAAATTAAGAGCGGATGGGGGAAAGGCTGTCACCTAAAAAGGTAACCAAATAAGAATATGCTGTGACCTAACAGCATACACCATGGAAGAGGAGAGAGTGGGGTAACATCTTCTCAAAGTTGAAAGAGAACATTGCCGACCCAAGAATCCTCTACCCCAGCAAACTATCTATCAAGACAAATGAAGTAAAATCTTCCCATACAAGGAAAAACTCAAAAATATGTTAAAAGACATGGGTAGTGTTATGTTAAAAAGCAGGGGTTGCCATCATAATATTTAACAAAATTGATATTAAGGTGCAAGCCATAACAAGAGATAAGGAGGAACAATATACCGTATATACTCGAGTATAAGCCGACCCTAATACCAGCTGAGACTCCTAATTTTACCACAAAAACTGCATTAAAAAATGTGCTGAAAAACTTGGCTTATACGCGAGTATATACAGTATAATGCTCAAGAGATCAGTAGGCCAAGAACTAATGAGCATAATAAGTATATATGGGTCCAATGAGAGACCCACGAAAATTGTCAATCAAATGTTCCAAAAGATGAAAAAAAGAAATTACAGACTCAATAATCATAGTAGGGAAAAAAGCTTAACAAGGAGTCTACAGAACTAAACTGTACAATTAGGAGACTTGACCTGATAGACATTTTCAGAGCTCTCCACCCAAATGCAAATACATTTACATTATTTGCAAGCCCACATGGCACATACTCGAAGATAGACTACATGGTGGGACACAAGTCACACCTGTGCAAATTGAAGCACACAGAGGTCATTAAGACTTCCCTCTTGGACCATTATGCCATAAAGCTGTAAATCAGCAAAAGGATGGTTAAGAAAACAAGGGCAAACAATTGGAGGATGAATAACCCTCTACTCTAAATGAGTGTGTACTGGCCCAGATCAGAGGTGGATTCGGAAGTTTTCAGAAACCAACGAGAATGAGAATACAGCATACCCAAAACTTTGGGACACAGCAAAACCAGTTATCAGAAGTTTTATAGCAATAAATGCACATATGAAAAAAGAAGAAAGACATGATTGATACACTGGCCAAAACCTGCAGTAACTAGAGCAAAGTCAACAGGATAATCCTATCACTAGCTAAAGAAAAGAAATAATAGAAATCAGGGCAGAGATAAATGAGTGGGAAAACAAGAAAACAACACTAAAAAATCGGTGCAGCTAAAAGCTGGTTCTTTGAAAGGATTAACATGTCTAACCAAAGAAATGAAGGAACAAATAATAGTAACCAGGATAAGGGAAGAGACAGGGAAAATTACGACAGAGCCTATGAAATTAAAAGGCTAATTGCACAGTACTACGAAGGCCTGGGCTCCAATAATTTCAACAACTTGGAA